CTGAGAACCTTCACAGACATCCAAAAAGTAAGAAATCAGGAAGGGGGCAAATATTTTTTTACACAGCTCTGTAGCTTCAACAACTTCAACAATTTTTAACAGGATACCCATGAGCAAAAAAGTCTTTCTTCCTGCTAAATCATCCAACTTCTGCTTCTATGTACCTGACCTACAGAGGTTAGCATCTAAGCAGGCCGGCAGCACAGCCTAAGGAATACCTTTGAATAGTTTGTTTTCTTTTAAATAAAGACAGTTAATTGCTACGAGGAGGTACTAATCAGTTTGGGTTTTTGTTATTTGGGTGAACTGAACCTTAAAGTAGAAACTTATTTGTTGTATAACAAAAAAAAAATGGAGTATATTTATTAGCAGCCCCTCATTAAACAAACAAAAGCTTTCCCAGGGCAAAATATAAAAGGTTTTTGAACCCACCTTGGCGAAACTCCTCTTATCTGGCTTGGCATAGTGTGTGGCATAGGTGCAGGAGCCCAGGGTGCGGTAGCTGGGGTTGGAGAAGCAGCCACCTAAAGAGCTGCTACTGGGAGAGGACTCTGAAGAAGAGAGCAGGCCTGTGCAGTGCAGCCCTGCTGCCCCAACATCAACACATGTTCACATACTGAGCTCTAGATGTCATACACGCATATATATGTACCATGCAGACATGTACAGTGCACCTGATACAAAGTGTTTAACCTTTAATTTAATCACCCAGATCTGAAAAAACGGATCATTTATTGTCTTTACCTGTTGGTTGTGTAATTTCCCAGCAGGTTATGATTACCATCAACTGCTCTGAATGCTGCTGTGTGCCACTCTAAACATAAATAACACCAGTCAGACGAAAAGGACAGACGCACAGATATCGTACCTGAGAGGGAGTAGTCAGTGGAGCTGATGTTCAGGGCGGGTGTGTAGGTGACGCTAGGCACACGGTGGCCTTTCTCTCGTTGTCGATAACGGAACCAGACCACCAGAGCGAGCATGGCCATGATCATCAGCAGCAGGAAGACGATGCCCAGGACAGCGCCCGTCGACTGCCGCTGCGACGCCAGAGCTGGGCTCATCTTGGTGTAGGGGTTCAGCTCCTCCATCATTAAGGCCGCTGAGGAGAACACAGATGAGTAACACTTTAATGTTTGACACGCTCACATCACCTGTACAGTGTCATCAGGCATTTTTGCTGAATGAGAATTTCAGAATAAAATTCCTCTCATTTCACTGAATTTATTGTTGCTATTGACTTTTATTTTGGTATTTTGCCATGATAAAAATGCATGTATCTACAAAGGACAGATAATGAAAGGCAAACAGTTGAGGAGTAGGGTGGGGTGATACTGCCAAACTGGTGGAGTCTGCAGTGACACGGGCTCCATGATCTTCTTTGGAGGTAAACAGAGAGATGAGCACAAATATGAAGCTGTTGAACTACTTTTGGTAACCGAGTCAATATGTCTGTGAAGGTTCTCAGTCATCCAGGTCATCGTAGTCAAAGGAGCTTGCAAAGAAAAGCGTCTGGACTTCTTTA